GCCCAGCAGGAAGGATCGCCAGAGCCCAGCAGGCGAGGCTGCGGTGGCCGAGAGCGGCCACTGCACTCCAGTCTGGCGACAGAGTGAGACTCCAACTCAAAAATAAAAAAAAAAAACAGCATTGCAAACAAAAAATATATTTATCCTTTTTTTAATGTTGATCCACGTAATTACCTTTACTACTTTACTACTTTCTTTATTTTATTCATGTGGGTTTGCATTACTGTCAAATGGCCCTTTATTTCATCTTGAAAGACTCCCTTTAGTATTTCTAATAGGCCAGGTTTGCTAATGATGATTGCTTTTAGTTTTTGTTTATCTGGGAATGTCTTCATTTCCCTTTTATTTTAGAGGAATTGTTTTGTGGCATATAGAATTCTTAGTTGAAATCTTTTCTTTCAACACTTTGAACATTTCATCCCACTGCCTTCATGCCTTCATGGTTTCTGATAAAGAATCAGTTGTTAATTTTATTGAAAATCTCTTGCACATAATGAGTTGCTTCTCTCTAACTGCCTTCCAGATTATGTTTTTGGTTTTTCATAGTTTGTGATGTATCTAGATGTTGATCTCTTTGAGTTTATTCTTTTTGAAATTTATTGGGTTTCTTGGATTTGTATATCAATGTTTTTAATCAAATTTGGGAAATGTTTTCTCATTATTTTTCAAATATTCTTTCTACCCTTTTCTCTTTCCCCTTTCTTTCTGGGACACTCATTATACAAGTTGGTACACCTGTGGTGTTTTACAGATCTGTGAGGCTCTGATCACTTTAAAAAATTTGTTAGTATTCATTGTTCAAACTGGATAATCTTAATTGACATTATTTTCTGCTTTATCGATTCTTCTGCCTGTTTCAATCCACCGTTGAACTTCCCTAGGAATTTCTTCATGTCAGTTATTTTTCAACTCCAGAATATCTATTTGGTTCTTTGTAAAAAATAATTTCTATCTTTTTGTATTGATATTCTTCTTTTGTGAGGCTTCATTCTCTTAACTTTCTCTCCATATATTGTTTCCTTAGTTCTTTAAATAGTGTTTAAAATAGTGGATTTGTAGCCAGGCTCAGTGGCTCAGCCTGTAATCCTGTGCCTTTGGGAGGCTGAGGTGAGTGGATTGCCTGAGCCCGCGGGTATGAGACCTGCCTGGGCAGCAAGACCTCATCTCTACAATAAATCAAAAAATCAGCCAGGCGTGCATGCCTGTAATTCCGGCTACTTGGAAGGCTGAGGCGGAAGGATCGCCGGAGCCCAGCAGGTCAAGGCTGCGGTGGCCGGGAGCAGCCACTGCACTCCAGTCTGGGCAACAGAGTGAGACTCCAACTCAAAAAAAAAAAAGAATAGTGGATTTGTCTGACTGGGCTCGGTGGCTCAGCCTGTAATCCTAGCACTTTGGGAGGCCGAGGCGAGTGGATTGGCTGAGCCTACAGGTTCAAGACCCTCCTGGGCAACTTGGCGAGACCTCGTCTCTGCAATAAATAAAAAACTGGTCGGGCGTGGTAGCATGCTCCTTTAGTTCCGGTTCCTTGGAAAGCTGAGGAGGAAGGATGGAACCCAGCAGGTCGAGGCTGTGGTGGCCAGGAGCGTGCCACTGTACTCCAGTCTGGGTAACAGTGAGACTCCAACTGAAAAAAAATAAAATAAAATAGTGAATTTAAAGTCTTTATCTAGTAAGTCTAATGTCTGGACTTACTCAGTTTTTATTGATTGCTTTCTTTCTTGTGTAAGAGCCACACCTTCTTGCCTCTTTGTATGTCTTGTAATTTTTTTGTTGGCAACTATAAACATTATAGTCTTTAAATAATATTATGTGGCCATTATGTATATCAGAATATCCCCCGCCCAGGGGTAATTGTTGTAGTTTTTGTTGTTGTTTGTGTGATGACTTTTCTAAAATAATTCTATAAGATTTGTATTCTTTGTTATGAGTGGCCACTAAAGTCCCTGCTGAGGTAGTTTAGTGGTCAGCTAGTGATTGGATAGAGGTTTGTTTTTGTTTGTTTGTTTGTTTGTTTCAGTACTTGGAAGTAATAAGTCTCCCAGCCTTTGTTGAATGGCTGTAGGCATGTGTTGGTATATGCCTGTGATATTTAGCCAGGCAAATTACAACGCTACATTATCCTTCACTTCATACTTGTGAAGAGCTTCAAGGTCAGCCAGAGACAAGAGCTTAGGGTCTTCTTGAGTATATGCACAGACCTATGCATGAACATAGTTATTTATGTGTATGGCCTTCTAAATTCCAAGAAATATGTTGGAGCTTATTAACACTAGTTTCTCAGATTTTCCTTTTAAGCTTCTTGATTAGCCTTTTTTTTCCCCCTCAACTGTTATCTACTGGATTAGGCATATATGAAGTTAAATAGTGGTTTATCATTGTTCCAGCAAGTGTACTTAGGGAAAAGGCTATTCACATTGGATCATCCTAAAGTCAGGTCAAATAAAGACAGCTTTGTAAGTGGGTCTTTTGGGTAATCACCAGTCTGCTTAAATAATGGAGTTTGTTTGTTTGTTTAGGAATGAAGGAGGTTTTAAAGGACATTCAACCCTATTTTGCCCTTATGGTGTCTGCCAGACTACTAGTTTCACTGCAATTTTGGGCTGTTGGTCTTCAGAGATACCACAGAGGTGGGAGGAAGGCTCAGTGGATAGGCATAGGCATAAGGCAAGTTAAAATGCTACAAAGCTTAGTGTTCTTACTTAGTTTTGGCTGTTTGTTTGTTGTTGTTGTTGTTTTGTAAATTCTCAGCTGGGCTTGATGAATCCCAGTGCTTTGGGAGGCTGAGGTAAGTGGATTACCTGAGCCCGTGGGTTCGAGACCCGCCTGGGCAACTTGGTAAGACCTCATCTCTACAATAAATCAAAAATTAGCCGGGCGTGGTAGCACGTACCTGTAGTTCCAGCTACTTGGAAGGCTGAGGTAGAAGGATTGCCAGAGCCCAGCAGGTCGAGGCTGCAGTGGCCGGGAGGGTGACACTGTACTCCAGTCTGGGTGGCAGAGTGAGACTCCAACTCAAAATAAATAAATAAATTCTCCAGAATTATTGCAAGACTTTAGTTAATTTTCAGAGTCCTGAAAAAGTTGCCTCTGAGTATTTTTGCCAGTTTCTCATTACTTTAATGGAGGAGAGAGTTTTCTCCTTTAAATGATGAGAAAATTATAGGTTCTTACTCTGTTATTTTTCGCTAACATTATTCCTAATTTTAAAAAAATTAGGGAATCATAAGTAAGAGTGTAAGGAAGGTTAACTTTATAAAGATACATAGGTCAATAAGGGGAAAAGGATCTCATGGAAATCTAAGAAAAGGAATTCATGGATCCTTGATCCTTGTGACTGTGCTGTCCCTGCTTCATGGTGCGCCTCTCTCTCTCTCTCTCTCTCTCTCTCTCTCTCTCTCTCATTCTCTCTCTCTCGATCTCTCAATCTCTCTCAATATCTCTATCTCTATCTCTGTGTTTTCTTAGCTTCAATTTAAATTCCAAGGGTGAGCATCAGAATAGTCTGTCTCATCCCTCTTTAGATAGAGCTTTCCACATTGGGTCACCTGATGTGCTGCTTGTCAGTCTTCGGCTTCTCTATCCTTGAGATGTATGCATGTGTGGTAAGATGATGTGACATAGCATAAGGCTGCCTAAGTTGGCACTGTAAACAGAAACCACACACAGGGAGATTTTCATATGAACGACTGTGGGCTGGGGGAGTGGAGCCATATACTGTTCTCCCTGTGTGGCCTGTCATGTTTTTATTGTACACGATGGTGACTGAAAAAAAAATCATGACTAATCCTTATTTTATTTCAGAGGAAGATATAATCCAGTTAACCAGAAGACAGTGAATGCCAAGAGAGGACCAGTAAAAAAGATTCCAAGGTCAAACCATCTTCCGAAACTCAATCCATGATTCCAGAACTGAATGGATTTCTATTTCTTCCTTTTTTCATCTATAATATTCAACTTGTGAAGTTATTGTTCAGCACATTTCTCAGGGGGTGAAATAGATAAGAATGAACTGCCAAACTTCCCTTTAGCTGGTCTTCCAGAAGTTTGTCCCTTTGCCCGTATTGAAAGTACTTTTCTCCAGGGACCCTAAAATATCTAATAGAAGTACTTGTGATTTTTTTAAATGTCTCAGGAAATCTGAAGGTTGGCATCATTACACTTGCTTTTAATAACATATTCATAGCCGGGCTCGGTAGCTCAGCCTGTAATCCCGCGCCTTTGGGAGGCTGAGGTGAGTGGATTGCCTGAGCCCACGGGTTCAAGACCTGCCTGGGCAGCGAGACCTCATCTCTACAATAAATCAAAAAATCAGCTGGGTGTGGTAGCGCGCACCTGTAATTCCGAATACTTGGAAGGCTGAGGCAGAAGGATCACCAGAGCCCAGCAGTTCGAGGCTGCGGTGGCAGGAAGCGGCCACTGCAACTCCAGTCTGGGGTGACAGAGTGAGACTCCAATTCAAAAAAATAAATAAATAAATAAATAGCATATTCATGATCTGCTTTTATGGGAACATTGCTATTACATTTGTTTTCAGTTGACTGTGTTCATAAAAACTTTTTGCTATCTTGGGCTATATATCATGCTCAGTTTTTTTAAACTCCAGGTTTAAACAAAGCTGAAAATCAAGTGCATAATTTTGACTTGAAATAGCATGATATTGTGTCAACAACTTTCAGTCATGATTCAGATTTTTTGTAGTACCCCACTCTGCCATGAACTTGTAAGATCTTGGGCAAGTCCCTCCATCTTATCTTTTTTTTTTTTTTTTTTGAGTTGGGGTTTTGCTCTGTTACCCAGGCTGAAGTGCAGTAACGTGATCACAGTTCACTGCAGCCTCAAATTCCTGGGCTCAAGCAACCCTCCCACCTCTGCCTCCAAAAGTGCTGGGATCACAGGTGTGAGCCTCCCTTCCCAGCTCTTCACCTTGTCTTTGTTTTCCACACTTGTAAAACGACTGAGGCAAACTATACAATTTCTAAAGTTTCTTACCACTCTCGAAAACCAATACTTATTCAATCACAAGGTCCTTATGGTGACTTAAGTCATTTTATGATGTTTATTAATTCATAGTGATGACCTAGTTCTTCGCACCAAACCGCAAGTGATCACAATACGCAGGTCAAGAAGTGGAGATAAAATAAGGATAAGAGAAAGGTTCTTTTAAGGTGTAGTTTTTTTTTTACAATGTATTGAAGTCTCCTATTCATATGTAGACTGCTTTTGTCATTCAGATGGGTTTTGTAACTGTCACCTAGGTCTGGAACATAGAACTTACCTGCTCACTTTAATAAGTGAAATTACTGGACTTTAAATTTACAGACACCACACAGTGGTGAGTATAGTTTCAGCTAATGGTAGTCTCACCTTATATCTGGCATTTAACCTGAATTCTATTCAGTGTCACCAGTAATGAATACCAAATGTATTACTGTGACTACCACTAAAGATGTTTGTTTTCTTTGAGGAAGAATGCATCAATTTCATGTGAACCAAAAATATTTTTATGTGCCTTTAAAATGTAATGCAGAAAAATATAAAGTAACTTCCTGCAAATTATTCCACATTGGAATTATTGAAAATGTTTTCTTCTGTTCTTTAGCTAACTATTGATAATTAGATATCTTGGCCAATCATATTATTAGATAGGTATTCGATTTTTATGTTTTATACTATCTTTCTTGGCATTAGCAAAAAGTTAATAATTTAAGTATTAGTGAATAGTTACAATAATCAATAAAAAAAACATGTTTATTTTGTACAGAGCTAATCCATTGTGGGGACTGGATTGAGGAACATTTAAAGCTATCTCAGTCACTGGGAGGGAATGTTAGTTAAACATCTTATTATAGGGACTCTATCATAGTTAAGTGTTCTGCACGAGCTGTGTTGGGATATTTTTCAGATGTCATAAAATATGTCTTAAACAGTGTGATGGAATGTTGGCGGGAGAGTATAAAGAACTGAAATAGGGTCTCTAAGATCTGTATTCTAATTCCAGTTTTGCCACTTCCAAGCCTTTGACTTTGAGTAAATAACTTTTCAATGCCTCAGTTTTATCATTTATAGAGTTGGGAATATTAATGCCCTGGGATTGTTGTGCAGATCAAGGGTATTGCTACATACTTATTTGTGTATTTCTTTATAACCTATTTCCCTCTAAAAGGGATGCAAGTTAGCTTTTACTAAATATAGACATATAAAGACAATAACCATTAAGAGATGGAAATAAAATTAAAGTTTAGCAAGAATTTCCAACTAAGAAAAGCTCTACTTTTAAGCTTTCTACCAGTCAGTGCAAAGAAGGACTGAGTTATATTCAACTCTTTTTTTTTTTTTTTTGACTTGGAGTCTCACTCTGTCACCTAAACTGGAGAGCAGTGGTCGCTCCCGGGCACTGCAGCCTCGACCTGCTGGGCTCCGGCGATCCTTCCGCCTCAGCCTTCCAAGTAGCTGGGAACTACAGGCGCGCACTACCACACCCGGCTAATTTTTGATTTATTGTAGAGATGAGGTCTTACCAAGTTGCCCAGGCAGGTCTCGAACCCACGGGTTCAGGCAATCCATTCACCTCGGCCTTCCAAAGTGCTGGGATTACAGGCTGAGCCACCAAGCCCAGCCTTCAACTCTTCTTTCTGTTACTTTTGATTCATGGTCTCACTCTGTTGCCCAGGCTGGAGTGCAAGTGGCACGATCACACCTCACTGCAGCCTCAACCTCCTGGGTTCAGGTGATCTACCACACTTGGCTTGTTTTTGTTTTTGTTTTTGTTTTGTTTTGTAGAGACAAGGTCTCGCTATGTTGCCCAGGCTGTTCTCGAATTCCTGGCCTCAAGTGATCCTCCCACCTTGGCTCCCAAAGTCTGGGATTACAGGCGTGAGCCTACAACTGTTTTGTTTTTGTTTTTGTTTTTTTTTAAGCAGGAATATATAAGTAGAGAGAAAGAAAAAGGTAGGAGAATTGCTTGAGGTCAGGAGTTTGAGACCAGACTGGGCAACATATTGAGACCCCTGTCTCTACAAAAAAAAGTTAAAACAAAAAATTAACCAGAAATAGTGGTGCAAGCCTGTAGTCCAAGCTATTTGGGAGGCTGAGGCAGGAGAATTGCTTGAGTCCAGGAGTTCGAGGCTGCAGTGAGCTATGGTTGCACCACTGTACTCTAGCCTGGGTGGCAGAGGCAAGACCTCATCTTGAGAAGAAAATTTTTTAAATGCTATTATTTACTGCAATAACCACAACAAAAATGACAGTCTAGGGTCATTATTTTGTTTGATACTCAAATATACATTGATATCAATGTTTGTTTTCTTTCATTGGAAAGTTCAGGATTCATAAAAGAAAAAATCAGTAAAAATAATGTATTTCAAAATTTAAAATATCTACACGTATTACAAAATATTCAGAAATATGTGCAAAAACAAATATTGCTGTAATTAAAAAGACAGATAATGAGTGTTGGCAAGAATGTGGAGAAACTGAAACCCTCATACGTTATTGGTGGGGACATAAAATGATACAGCAACTTTGGAAAACTGTCAGAGTTACCATATGACACACACAGCAAGACCACTGTTGAAAGAAGAGAAATAGAAGCCTACGTCCACATGAAAACATGCATATAAAGATTGGTGGCCTCATAGTTCAAGTAGCCAGAAAGCAGAAACAACCCAAATGTCCATCATCTGACGAATGGATAAATAAAATGTGGCTTAGCCAAATAATGGACATCATTCTACAATAAAAAGGAATGAAATGCTGATCTAGGATACAACACAGATAGACTGTGGAAACATTATCCTAGGTGAAAGAATACAATCACAAAGACTACGTATTGTATAGTTCCATTTATGTGAAATGTCCAAAATGGGCAAATCCATCGAGACAGGAAGTAGATCAGAAGTTGACAAGGGCTAGGGGCGGGTGGGTGAGGGACAGTGACTGCTGATGGGTAGAAGGTTTCTTTTTGGGGTGATGGAAATGTTCCAAAATTGGAGTGACAGTTGCACAACTCTGTCAATATAACAAAAACTGTTGAATTATCCTTGAAGTTGGTTAATTGTATGTTTTGTAATTTATACCTCCATAAAGCTGTTATAAAACAATAAATGTTAAATGTAAGCATTAATATTTTAATTAGTAGATGCATTTTAGTGAAATATTATTTGACCTTTATCTGAAAATACGATCTTGGTAATCAGAATGCCTCATCACTAGTGCTATTATTGGGTCAAGAGCATATTTTTTAACTGAATTTTCCAACCATGTTTTTCCAGGTGCTACACTAGTCAGAACAATAATGAGGAGAGAGTTATACACTAATTCCCAATATTTTTATTTCACTTTCTTAACTTTGAATAACCTTGATTTCAATAACTTTGTGGAGATATTTATAAAATGTATTTTAATTTTTGTTAGGAGCTATAGTGTTTGTTTCCAATAAATTATTTCTTTTTTAGAAAGCAGGATTTATTGAAAGGGCAGTAAAGCTCCCACAGTGGAAGGGAACCCCAAGGGATTGCCCCAAATACATTATTTCTATTTCAGCCAGTAGCAGTGGCTCACACCTATAATCCCAGTACTTTGGGAGGCAGAAGTGAGAGGATTGCCTGAGCCCATGGGTTTGAGAATAACCTGAGCAACTTGGCGAGACCTCGTCTCTACAATAAATCAAAAAAATTGGCCAGGTGTGGTGGCGCGTTCCTGTAGTTTCAGCTACTTGGAAGGATGAGGCAGAAGAATCACCTGAGCCCAGCAGGTCAAGGCTGTGGTGACCATGAGCGTGCCACTGCACTCCAGCCTGGGTGCCAAATTGAGACTCCAATTCAAAAAAATCCAAAAAGCCCAAATTATTTCTATCCTTTCATCATCTTAATTCGTTTTATCATGTAAATGGAGATTCCAAAGCAGAGTTGCCTATATCAATTTTAGTACTATTGTATTCATATGCTACTGGATAAGAAATTCTTTATTTGGACTAAGAATTACTTTTGCAGCCAATGTTGATCAGTAACACTATTTGGTTGCTTTTTGCTATGAGCATAGTGAAGACCTGTCTGGACTTACAGACTATATATATGCCTTTTGTTCAAAAATTAAGTAATTGAGTTATAAATACTTAGTACATACATAATTTAGATTTCAATTTAGAATATCAGAAAACAGAATTATAGTGACA